CTGTGGGGGTGTAGTGGGTTATTGTGGGGTGTAGTGTGGGGGTGTAGTGCCAGGAGGCCGGCCACTATACTCCAGGGTCCTGTGGGGGTGTAGTAGGTTATTGTGGGGTGTAGTGTGGGGGTGTAGTGTGGGGTGTAGTGCCAGGAGGCCGGCCACTATACTCCAGGGTCCTGTGGGGGTGTAGTGGGTTATTGTGGGGGTGTAGTGTGGGGGTGTAGTGCCAGGAGGCCGGCCACTATACTCCAGGGTCCTGTGGGGGTGTAGTGGGTTATTGTGGGGTGTAGTGTGGGGGTGTAGTGCCAGGAGGCCGGCCACTATACTCCAGGGTCCTGTGGGGGTGTAGTGGGTTATTGTGGGGTGTAGTGTGGGGGTGTAGTGTGGGGGTGTAGTGCCAGGAGGCCGGCCACTATACTCCAGGGTCCTGTGGGGGTGTAGTGGGTTATTGTGGGGTGTAGTGTGGGGGTGTAGTGTGGGGGGGTGTAGTGCCAGGAGGCCGGCCACTATACTCCAGGGTCTGTGGGGGTGTAGTGTGGGGGTGTAGTGGGGGGGGGTGTAGTGTGGGGGTGTAGTGCCAGGAGGCCGGCCACTATACTCCAGGGTCCTGTGGGGGTGTAGTGGGTTATTGTGGGGGTGTAGTGTGGGGGTGTCGTGTGGGGGGTGTAGTGCCAGGAGGCCCGCCACTATACTCCAGGGTCCTGTGGGGGTGTAGTGGGTTATTGTGGGGTGTAGTGTGGGGGTGTAGTGCCAGGAGGCCGGCCACTATACTCCAGGGTCCTGTGGGGGTGTAGTGGGTTATTGTGGGGTGTAGTGTGGGGGTGTAGTGTGGGGTGTAGTGCCAGGAGGCCGGCCACTATACTCCAGGGTCCTGTGGGGGTGTAGTGGGTATTGTGGGGTGTAGTGTGGGGGTGTAGTGCCAGGAGGCCGGCCACTATACTCCAGGGTCCTGTGGGGGTGTAGTGGGTTATTGTGGGGGTGTAGTGTGGGGGTGTAGTGCCAGGAGGCTGTGCCACTATACTCCAGGGTCCTGTGGGGGTGTAGTGTGGGGGTCTAGTGTAGTGGGTGTATTGTGGGGGTGTAGTGTGGGGGGTGTAGTGTGGGAGTGTAGTGCCAGGAGGCCGGCCACTATACTCCAGGGTCCTGTGGGGGTGTAGTGGGTGTATTGTGGGGGTGTAGTGTGGGGGTGTAGTGCCAGGAGGCTGGCCACTATACTCCAGGGTGCTGTGGGGGTGTAGTGTGGGGGTGTAGTGGGTTATTGTGGGGTGTAGTGTGGGGGTGTAGTGTGGGGGTGTAGTGCCAGGAGGCCGGCCACTATACTCCAGGGTCCTGTGGGGGTGTAGTGGGTTATTGTGGGGTGTAGTGTGGGGGTGTAGTGCCAGGAGGCCCGCCACTATACTCCAGGGTCCTGTGGGGGTGTAGTGGGTTATTGTGGGGTGTAGTGTGGGGGTGTAGTGCCAGGAGGCCGGCCACTATACTCCAGGGTCCTGTGGGGGTGTAGTGGGTTATTGTGGGGTGTAGTGTGGGGGTGTAGTGCCAGGAGGCCGGCCACTATACTCCAGGGTCCTGTGGGGGTGTAGTGGGTTAATGTGGGGTGTAGTGTGGGGGTGTAGTGTGGGGGTGTCGTGTGGGGGTGTAGTGCCAGGAGGCCCGCCACTATACTCCAGGGTCCTGTGGGGGTGTAGTGGGTTATTGTGGGGTGTAGTGTGGGGGTGTAGTGCCAGGAGGCCGGCCACTATACTCCAGGGTCCTGTGGGGGTGTAGTGGGTTATTGTGGGGTGTAGTGTGGGGGTGTAGTGCCAGGAGGCCGGCCACTATACTCCAGGGTCCTGTGGGGGTGTAGTGGGTTATTGTGGGGTGTAGTGTGGGGGTGTAGTGTGGAGGGTGTAGTGTGGGGGTGTGTAGTGTGGGGGTGTAGTGCCAGGAGGCCGGCCACTATACTCCAGGGTCCTGTGGGGGTGTAGTGGGTTATTGTGGGGGTGTAGTGTGGGGGTGTAGTGGGTTATTGTGGGGTGTAGTGTGGGGGTGTACTGTGGGGGTGTAGTACCAGGAGGCCGGCCACTATACTCCAGGGTCCTGTGGGGGTGTAGTGGGTTATTGTGGGGTGTAGTGTGGGGGTGTAGTGTGGGGGTGTAGTGTGAGGGTGTAGTGGGTGTATTGTGGGGTTAGTGGGTGTAGTGTGGGGGTGTAGTGTGGGGGAGTAGTGTGGGGGTGTAGTGTGGGGGTGTAGTGTGGGGGTGTAGTGCCAGGAGGCCGGCCACTATACTCCAGGGTCCTGTGGGGGTGTAGTGGGTTATTGTGGGGTGTAGTGTGGGGGTGTGTGTGGGGTGTAGTGTGGTGTAGTGTGGGGGTGTAGTGCCAGGAGGCCGGCCACTATACTCCAGGGTCCTGTGGGGGTGTAGTGGGTTATTGTGGGGTGTAGTGTGGGGGTGTAGTGTGGGGGTGTAGTGTGTGGGTGTAGTGTGGGGGTGTAGTGCCAGGAGGCCGGCCACTATACTCCAGGGTCCTGTGGGGGTGTAGTGGGTTATTGTGGGGTGTAGTGTGGGGGTGTAGTGCCAGGAGGCCGGCCACTATACTCCAGGGTCCTGTGGGGGTGTAGTGGGTTATTGTGGGGTGTAGTGTGGGGGTGTAGTGGGTTATTGTGGGGTGTAGTGTGGGGGTGTAGTGGGTTATTGTGGGGTGTAGTGTGGGGGTGTAGTGCCAGGAGGCCGGCCACTATACTCCAGGGTCCTGTGGGGGTGTAGTGGGTTATTGTGGGGTGTAGTGTGGGGGTGTAGTGCCAGGAGGCCGGCCACTATACTCCAGGGTCCTGTGGGGGTGTAGTGGGTTATTGTGGGGTGTAGTGTGGGGGTGTAGTGTGGGGGTGTAGTGCCAGGAGGCCCGCCACTATAGTCCAGGGTCCTGTGGGGGTGTAGTGGGTTATTGTGGGGTGTAGTGTGGGGGTGTAGTGTGGGGGTGTAGTACCAGGAGGCCGGCCACTATACTCCAGGGTCCTGTGGGGGTGTAGTGGGTTATTGTGGGGTGTAGTGTGGGGGTGTAGTGTGGAGGGTGTAGTGTGGGGGTGTAGTGTGGGGGTGTAGTGCCAGGAGGCCGGCCACTATACTCCAGGGTCCTGTGGGGGTGTAGTGGGTTATTGTGGGGTGTAGTGTGGGGGTGTAGTGTGGGGGTGTAGTGTGGGGGTGTAGTGCCAGGAGGCCGGCCACTATACTCCAGGGTCCTGTGGGGGTGTAGTGGGTTATTGTGGGGTGTAGTGTGGGGGTGTAGTGTGGGGGTGTAGTGTGGGGGGTGTAGTGTGGGGGTGTAGTGTGGGGGGGTGTAGTGCCAGGAGGCCGGCCACTATACTCCAGGGTCCTGTGGGGGTGTAGTGGGTTATTGTAGGGTGTAGTGTGGGGGGGGGTGTAGTGTGGGGGTGTAGTGTGGGGATGTAGTGTGGGGGTGTAGTGCCAGGAGGCCGGCCACTATACTCCAGGGTCCTGTGGGGGTGTAGTGTGGGGGTGTAGTGTGGGGGGTGTAGTGTGGGGGTGTAGTGCCAGGAGGCCGGCCACTATACTCCAGGGTCCTGTGGGGGTGTAGTGGGTTATTGTGGGGTGTAGTGTGGGGGTGTAGTGTGGGGGTGTAGTGTGGGGGTGTAGTGGGGTGAATTGTGGGGGTGCACTGTGGGGGTGTAGTGTGGGGGTGTAGTGGGGTGTAGTGTGGGGGTGTACTGTGGGGGTGTAGTGTGGGGGTGTAGTGTGGGGGTGTGGTGTGGGGGTGTAGTAGGTTTAGTGTGGGGGTGCACTGTGGGGGTGTAGTGTGGGGGTGTAGTGTGGGGGTGTAGTGTGGGGGTGTAGTGTGGGGGTGTAGTGCCAGGAGGCCGGCCACTATACTCCAGGGTCCTGTGGGGGGTGTAGTGGGTTATTGTGGGGTGTAGTGTGGGGGTGTAGTGGGTTATTGTGGGGTGTAGTGTGGGGGTGTAGTGGGTTATTGTGGGGTGTAGTGTGGGGGTGTACAGTGGGCGTGTAGTGTGGGGGGTGTAGTGTGGGGGTGTAGTGGGTTATTGTGGGGTGTAGTGTGGGGGTGTACTGTGGGGGTGTAGTGTGGGGGTGTAGTGTGGGGGTGTAGTGTGGGGGTGTAGTGTGGGGGTGTAGTGCCAGGAGGCCGGCCACTATACTCCAGGGTCCTGTGGGGGTGTAGTGGGTTATTGTGGGGTGTAGTGTGGGGGGTGTAGTGGGTTATTGTGGGGTGTAGTGTGGGGGTGTAGTGGGTTATTGTGGGGTGTAGTGTGGGGGTGTAGTGCCAGGAGGCCGGCCACTATACTCCAGGGTCCTTTGGGGGGTGTAGTGGGTTATTGTGTAGTGTGGGGGTGTAGTGTGGGGGTGTAGTGTGGGGGTGTAGTGTGGGGGTGTAGTGTGGGGGTGTAGTGTGGGGTGTAGTGAGGTGGGTGTGTGGTGTGGGGGTGTAGTGTGGGGGGTGTAGTGTGGGGGTGTGGTGTGGGGGGGTGTAGTGTGGGGGGTGTAGTGTGGGGGTGTAGTGTGGGGGTGTAGTGTGGGGGTGTAGTGTGGGGGGTGTAGTGTGGGGGGTGTAGTGTGGGGGTGTAGTGTGGGGGTGTAGTGTGGGGGTGTAGTGAGGGGGGTGTGGTGTGGGGGTGTAGTGCCAGGAGGCCGGCCACTATACTCCAGGGTCCTGTGGGGGTGTAGTGGGTTATTGTGGGGTGTAGTGTGGGGGGTGTAGTGTGTGGGGTGTAGTGTGGGGGTGTAGTGTGGGGGGTGTAGTGTGGAGGCCCGCCACTATACTCCAGGGTCCTGTGGGGGTGTATTGGGTTATTGTGGGGTGTAGTGTGGGGGTGTAGTGTGGGGGTGTAGTGTGGGGGTTTAGTGTGGGGGTGTAGTGCCAGGAGGCCGGCCACTATACTCCAGGGTCCTGTGGGGGTGTAGTGGGTTATTGTGGGGTGTAGTGTGGGGGTGTAGTGTGGGGGTGTAGTGTGGGGGTGTAGTGTGGGGTGTAGTGTGGGGGGTGTAGTGTGGGGG